ATAATAGTGAAAAATACCAGAAATTGAGGTCAAGAAAAGTAACTGAAATTTATTGCTTTATTAATAACTGTTCAAGAGATGTACAAAAAAAAAATTCATATTCTGTTATTCAATATTGCATTGATATTCTGAAAGTCTGGTTGTGCATCAGATCTAATGTGGTTGGAAGATGGCATTAGAAATGATTGCATTCCAATAAAGAAAATGGATTGTTCTTTTATAAAACAAAAACAAACTTTGAAATATTATTGTGGGAAAAAAAAAGAAGTCTTTTAGGCAATAATGTAACAAAATATGATAATAAGACAACTAATACATATCAAAATGTCTCTCTTTACTGTTTTACACAGGTTTCTACCATGAAAAGCTTAATATCCAATACTTCACCATTTGAACATTGACTGAATGATATTCAAGAATAAATGTTTTAAACTGTAAAGGATAATTGTATATAACAAGTTAGAAATGTATGCAATAAATGTTTAATATTAATATGCCATCTGAGAAGGAAAACTAACAAGGAAAAATAATTTATTTAAAAATATAGAAGTTAATATGCAGAATTCATTATAACAAAGAAAAAGAGCCTATGTGAAATTTAATTCCAGAACTTTTATTAAATATTAGGGTACATTGTTTAATTACAACCTCTTCTGTGCAGCTACACAGAACTATAACAGACTAGTGAAAATACAAAATTCAAACAATTAAAAACTCAGACCTTTAAATACCTTTGTTCTATTAAAGTTACATTACCTGATCAATCAACTATTATTACAATTTTAATACACGTTGAGCTCTACCAGTTACAACATGTTAGGTTTAAATCAAATCATGAGCTTAAATGGTTATGAACTTTTCTCACATGGCGTTTATAGTTGTCTAAACGATTGAACTGTCGATAACACAACGGACAAGAAATTAAGTTTTGTTCAAGAGCTGACTTGTGAAGCTTCATGTGACGTGAATATGCAGGATCTGACCCAAGAACATTGAGGCACAAATGGCATGTTCGGTTTCTTTTGCTATATCCTGCAAAAAAGTACAAAACTTTGATGACATAATATTCCAGTAAATAAAACTACTTAGATTAGAAATCTACTATTGAAATGAGTGAAAAATTAAAAACTTTAATGCCTCCCAAACTCCCACCCCATTCCTCATTATTTGATGCTTACTTTAATTTATCTAACTGATGTTGTTAAACCAAACTTGTTTCGAATTACAAGGACAGCATGTGAAACACATTCTGTACAATTCTTTGAAGTGCCTATGGTTACAAACTTTTCCAACACCCTGTATTACACAAGTTCAAATTATATTTGTACACAGTATATGAGCTTGCAGACCAATTCAGTTTTCTGAAAACTTTGGAAATACCATTTCTCTAAGATTAAAAATATATATAAAATCATTAACCCATGTGAAAAAAATCTAGAGAACTGAAACAGCTACAGCAGAAATAGATTTTCATGCATAATACTAAAATACCATAGAACACCAATTTAGCAACAGTACAGGTATTCTTTTGATATTTGCAAATCCAAGTTTTTGGTTCTGCTTTCATTTTATTTCAAATGATTTTGTCCTGATCTCCTTCTTACCTCATGAATCATGACACTGTAGGAGAACGAGGACACTATTATTCATCTAATTCATTAGCTGAGTGTCGTGATCTACTTCCTATCCCCTGGTGGGTCAGTGGTAATTTTATGGACTCACAATGCTAAAATACGAGGTTCATTTCCTGTGGTGGACACAGAAGATAGCCCAGTGTGGCACTAAAACAAACAAATCTACTTCTTACTTAATGCATCATAACACTGTAGGAGAATAAGAACACTATTCTTCATCTAATTAATTAGCTGAGTGTCACGATCTACTTGCTACCTTGGAGAAACCAATTAGCTTTCAAGAAAATAGTCAGTGGTACCAGAGGTCACAATGAGCAGTGCCACATGGTCTGCAGTTTACTAGGCATCCTTCTAGTTGTTAATTTACTCAACTAACTGATTCACAAGCAATATCATGTTTCATCATTTCAAGTATTTGCTGTCTCATAGCATACTTCATGGTTTTGAAGTAGTATAACAATTAATGACAGATAATTATTTATTAATTAAACACAAACTTATTTTGAGCAAAGAGATGGATGATTATTTGTGTGTTTACCATATAACAATTGTCACATGTGGAAATTTAAAAGACCATAGAGTTTTTATACATTCCAATGAAATATTACAAAAAAAAATATTAAAAAATGATTAGTAATAAATCCAACACATAGAAGAACACAAGAATTTTGGACTTATGTTATTAGAGTGAATGTTTAGAAACGTATGTTAGTGTGCTTCAAGTACCTTTAATTTCTTGAATCAAATATCACAATATTACTCATATGCATATATTAACTATATATATTCTAATCATACAAATGTCAAATTTCTGTATTACAACAATTTTTACATTAACTTTGTGTAATTATGTTAATTTGACATTCCAGTGGAATTTCTCAGCCTTCTTTTAGAGACTATTATCACAAACGTCACATCAAGGTTTCCATCTGTATATATTCTCATTTCATAGTAAATAAACAATGAAAAACAATGAACCATGAATCTCAATCATATATGACATTATAAATACAACTTTAAAATCAACATGAAGTTTTCAATAAATCCATGAACAACGTGGATGTTTCATATCAGGAAAAAGAAATTGCAATAAATATGAACCACTACACTGTCAGTTTTTGTACTTTGGCCACTACATGTAGCACATGGAACTCCACTATGTACAAAATATGCTGCATAGCTACCAACCACATTTACAGTGACAATTTAACAATCATGTAATTAATATACTGCAGTTTTGTTTATAAACTTAAAAAAAAAAAAAAAAAGAGCTGTAAAAACAGAATCATGGCAGTGTGGTTGGAGTGCAAAAACAAGACTAATGCCAGATAGGCCAACTTTATACTTGCTAGTGTGGTATCACTATCCTTTAGTTGATCCACAATAAAGTTTTTTTTAACCTTTCACACATGTCTACAAATCATTTAACCCCACTATTGGTTATTTTACAGAATTATAATTGCTTCTGTCTTAAGACATTTATGAAATGTTAATCTTCAATATTTTTCATTATCATTATGTTACCTTTTTTGCAAATATATTTGAAAAGTGATACTAATGAAACACTGTACATATATCAACCAACTGAAATAAAAATATCAATATTAGTCATCTATGTGATCTTGGCACTTCCTTAGATAAACTGCAATTTACAGAAACTTACTGCTATTTGTCAGTCAAAGTGTGTGAAGAATAGAAATGCATTTATAAATTACTACTCTTTATATATTTATAAATATCACATACATCTCAAAATTTACTTTTTGAGTAAAGAACTCAATTGATGAACCAATGCATTATCATTATTATAGTTTTCTTGCATATACTGGTTTTGAAATTGTGTAGTTTCTTGTACAGATTTAGTTTTATTAACTGAGAAGATACCTTTTAGTTCTGATCTATAAAGTTAAATGTACTTTTGGTGAGAAGTTACTGACAATAATATCTTTTCATTCCAAGAAAATATTCATGAATTACCTTTCAAGATGTTTAACTTTTTTTAAAACAAAAGAGGCAGACATGGATAAATTTAGTAGTACTCCTAGCACTTTAAATTAATATTTTGTTCACTATAAGTCTTTTATTATACTCACTGTAATAGAATGAAAATATATTATGAATAAATTTTACAGAACTATTCATTCAAGTAATAATGCCATTTCTCAAAAAAAACTTTAGTTTACCAAACTTTTTTTCTGACTCCTCTTTGTCCAAACAAAAGTTTAATATGAATGTTTGTCTCCCTTAAATAATGACAAGCAAGGAAAGTAAAGAATTTTTTTAATTCCTTTTATCTGTTTAAGTAGTTACTTGATCTTGTCTTTTCACAACTCCAAAGTTTGTTCTTTCTAAAAGTCACACTTCAAAGTTAGTTGCTAAAAATGTGTAAACAAGATCTTGATTCTTTTTTTGTCAGCGCTGTTCATGAACCAGCTGTATGTGCTTCTTTACATAATCTGGCCAACTGAATTTCTTGCTACATAAAGGGCAGGCAAACCTCTGTCGAACTGGTCTGTGCACCAATAAATGACGTTTATAGTGTGCAGGCCTAGTAAAGTTGTGGTTACAGAGACTACAATAAGTAGTTCCTGTACCTCGTGGTGTGTAGTGAGAATAGGATTGCTTGTTTAGTTCCCAGCCTGCTATTCTGTAAAAACCTAGATACATAAAAAAAAAGTGTATCAGGTTTTTTATAAGAAAAAATTTTTACTAATAACATTGCTTAATTTGTCCTTTGTTCATTAAAATAAAAAAACCAACAAAACTTTTCATGTGAAGATCATGTTTTACTTCAAATATCTTACATGAGGGTGGAGGTTGTGGTTCATATGAAATTATATCAACTGAATTATCCAACTGTGCTCTTCAGAATGTGTGTGTGTATATATATGATTAGATTGAAAGTATTTTTAATTTTAAAATGTGTTCAAATTTTCACGCCAAAAAATACCAAACAAAAATTTGAATAATTCTAATAATACACATGCCCCAATAGATGTTCTACATTTTACTAGAACAGTAGTTAATACATTTTAATGCAACATCTATTCATACGTCAATATACTAGCCTAAAAAAATTCTAAAGCTTGTTAATGGAAATAACTGACTGTTGTCTATCATTATGATAGCAGAATGAAAAATAAAGTACTTGACTACTGACATGATA